TTTTACGTGCTTTCGAACTGCTAGGTTGGCAGAAGCTGCGACAAGTAACGGGAGCTCACTCCGTTCCGCAGCGCTAAGGATTCGAACCGGCAAGCAGCCAACCTTTCTGATCAACAAGCTCAGCATCTTAGCCACTCAGCTACCGTGTCCCTTAAGTATAGTATAGTATAGCCTTTATTGTCATTGTACATCATGTATACAACGAAAAACCAGGGAGAATTCTGGGAGTTGAAGCCCACAAGTCTTAAAGGTGTCAAGGTTGGAGATCCCTGGCGTAATGTTAACTTTGGAACGGCAGCTGACAACGGACCGTGCTTCGGATAATCTGGAAAGAAAGAATATCTCCTGTTGAAAGACTGTCAGAGAGACAGAGAGAGACAGAGAGAGAGAGAGACAGAGAGAGACAGAGAGAGACAGAGAGAGAGAGAGACAGAGAGACAGAGACAGAGAGAGAGAGAGACAGAGAGAGACAGAGAGACAGAGAGAGAAAGAGAGAGAGAGACACAGAGAGAGAGACAGAGAGAGACAGAGACAGAGCGAGAGACAGAAAGAAAGAGAGAGACAGAGACAGAGAGAGAGAGACAGAAAGAGAGAGAGAGAGGGACAGAGAGAGACAGAGAGACAGGCAGAGAGAGACAGAGAGAGACACACACACACAGAGGCAGAAAGAAAGAAAGAGAGAGACACAGGCAGAGAGGCAGAGAAAGAGAGAGAGAGAGAGAGAGAGAGAGAGAGAGAGGCAGGCAGAGCCTGGGCCATCCAACACCCCTCAGATGGGGAGTCAACAACCCCCAGGTCTGCAGGTGGCTGATGAGGAAGAGGAGGAACAGCCGAGTCCAGTGCCTGATGCATGAATGCACAGAAGGCAGAGGAGAGGAGAGCAGTGGAAATCTATGGGCTGGACTTTGGGACGGAAGAGCCACCGCTGCTAGCGAAGCCCCATCCGAGCTCTGGGGATCAAAGGCAGGGGGCAGCGATGAATAGATGTGACAGACAACTATTCCTCTCCCTGCCAGACGGACTTGTTAGCCTGCGAGAGAAACTTTTTGCCGGCGCTCCTAATAAAGGAATCGTTGATTAATTACGGAGGGTTTATCGTGGCTGGGGAGCTGGGTCAGAACACATACAATCCCCTTTTGCAACTCTCCCTGCCCATCTTCTGATAAGCAAAGTCAATGGGGGAAGCCGGATTCGCTTAACGACCACTTCACAACTGCAGTCTTTCGTTTAACAAACCAAAAAAATATATCGTAAAACGGGGCACAACCGCTTAACGACTGCCTTGTTTATCAGTGGAAACGTCGGGCACAGTTGCAGTCATAAGCCCGAGGTCCACCTCTGCATTGCATCACCCTTGCCCCCCATACCTTCAAGATCAGAGGGGTCCCAGGCTTCAGTTCCAAGATCCCGGGGGGACCGAAGGCCTCAAAGACGGGGTTTGGGTAGTAGGTGAAGTTGGTCTTGTTGAGGATCAGCAAGGAGAAGACATTGTCCAAGACAAAGCCGAATTCATCCGGCCGCTCGGCGAGGTCGGACTGGTTGCTAGTGTCCACCGTCAAGGCCGGCGCCTGGCAGACCATTTCCGTCTCGTTCTGAACTTCACAGACCTGAAATGGAGAACGAGGGAGAAGGTGGAGGAGGAATCCCGTCCTTCGCGTCATCCGGCTGTTAGGAAAAGAGGGATGCACTGCGCGTACGCGTCCAGAACTGGCACTGCAAAGAGGGGGAATCCATTCCCGGGTCTTCACAAATATTCAGAAGGATTCTTTGGGCTGAAAGGATACCCTGAGGACACGGAGAAACCTCCAAGTGGCCTCAACGACCCTCTACAAAGGATGCAAATGACCAGCTGTCTGCAAGGAGTATCAATCCTTCCCTTCCCCACCATCCGTTCAGAACTGAAGAAGCTTCTTGGATGAGAAGCAAATCGTCTTCAAAAGAAAAACCTCCAAGTGGCCTCAACGACCCTCTACAAAGGATGCAAATGACCAGCTGTCTGCAAGGAGTATCAATCCTTCCCTTCCCCACCATCCGGTCAGAACAGAAGAAGCTTCTTGGATGAGAAGCAAATCGTCTTCAAAAGAAAAACCTCCAAGTGGCCTCAACGACCCTCTAAAAGGATGCAAATGACCAGCTGTCTGCAAGGAGTATCAATCCTTCCATTCCCCACCATTCGGTCAGAAGCTGAAGAAACTTCTTGGATGAGAAGCGAAACGTCTTCAAAAGAAAAACCTCCAAGTGGCCTCAACGACCCCCTAAAAGGATGCAAATGACCAGCTGTCTGCAAGGAGGATCAATCCTTCCCTTCCCCACCATTCGGTCAGAAGCTGAAGAAACTTCTTGGATGAGAAGCGAAACGTCTTCAAAAGAAAAACCTCCAAGTGGCCTCAACGACCCCCTAAAAGGATGCAAATGACCAG